TATTTCATCGAAAGGTTCTGAGTTATACTCTTATCACTGAACTCATAAGACTATTCTCAGTTATTATTTTACGACTTTCTGAAACATCTGATACTTTTAAACGTACTCTTGTCCTGTTCCTCTCTTCATATTTGAGCTCTGTCTCTTGTGGACTTCGGTACACCGCAAGTGGTGTTTTTTTGCCCAATGGAACCAAAAGCTCACTGTCTATTTTACTGAGTTTTCTTTTCCTTCACTTGCACAATTAAGAATGCCTACATCCTGGCTCAGCGCCTGGGCTCAAGCGGCTAAGGCGCCAACCACATACACCTAAGGTGGTGGGTTCGAATCCCCAGCCCGGCCAGCCAAACAACAATGATGGCTGCAACCAAAAAATGGCTGGGCGTTGTGGCGGGCGCCTGTGATCCCAGCTACTTGGGAGGCTGAGGCAGGAGCCTCACATGAGCCCAGGAGTTGGAGGTTGCTGTGAGCTTTGATGCCATAGCACTCTACCCAGGGGGACAGCTTGAGGCTCCATCTCAAAAAAAAAAAAAAAAAAAAAAGAATGCCTACATCCTTGACTCCCATTGTCTATTTAAACTCATTTGACCATCACAATATTTATCCACTACCAATACAGGTGATTCTCAACGAAGTATTTCGCCACCCTCATACTTATGGTCCAGTGCTGTATTTAAAAGCACCTATTAGATTAGTTCTACTTAAATCAAATATATCAATTCCAAAACTAAGCCTATGTTCCACATATAAATCACCTTTTTTCTGTATCCCAGATTGAAAACTTTGAGTCTTCTGTCTTTCCCATTCACTTACTCCCTACATCCCATGTCATCAAGTTTCTATGACAAATACCTTGAACATATCCTACACCAATACCATACTTCCTCCTACATTTGTTTACCACCACTTGAATCCAAAATTTTATTACTTCACTCCTTAGATTACCACAACTGTTTTCATCTTGATTGCTTCCTTATCCTGTTCTTACTATCACCATTTTTTTTTTTTTTTGAGACAAAGTCTCGCTTTGTTGTGGAGTAGACAATTGTAGTTTACTATGGGGTCTCAGTCGCTTGGGCTCAAGCGATCCTCCTACCTCAGCCTCCCAAGCAGCTAGGACTACAGTTTTATCTTTTGTAGAGACAGGAGTCTCGCTGTCTCTGTCCAGGCTGGTCTTGGACTCCTAGCCTCAATCGAACATCCCACCTTGATCTCCTAAAGTGCTGGGATTACATGTGTGTGTCACCATGCTCTGCTATAATTTTATATAATATTGCCATTTCTACTTTCCTAAAAGAATTTAATACTAGCTAACATTTATCAAGGAATGATTACATGTTTATTTGATCCTTATAACAATGGTATTATCCCCATTTTACAAGTGAGAAAACTGAAACAGGAGTCTCAATGACTTAACTGCTATTAGAACCTTATCAGAAAGAGAGAAAAAATTATAACTGAAGCATGCATTTCTAGAGTTGATAATTAACACTGTATGATAGTTTTGTCACTGAATTTACAATAAAACACATATTGGCTTCCCACTACCTTCTACACAGACGTAATTTGTCTTTCTTGCTTTCAAGGTTGTATACCTGTCTGGCTACATAATTTGCAGGACCCAATGCAAATTGAAAATGTTAAGTCCCCTTGCTCAAAATTTATTAAGACTTTCAAGATGGCAACAGCAAAGCAGTAAACCAAGAACGGGGTTCTTCTGAGCATGGGGCCCTGCATGACAGCCCTTCTTGGCTCTACCCTCAGCTACCCAGCCTTATTCATACTAAGCTACTAAAGTTCATTTTCTGATTCCTCTGGTCAATTTGATTGTCTTCTTCTCTGTGCTTCTTTGATCCCTGAAATTCTGTCCCTGTCTTCTGTGCTTACTTAAATCCTAATAATCTTTTTAAGACCCAAGTAAGTACCAACTCTGTGCTAGGCATCTTATATACTTTATCTCATTTAATTCTCAAAACAATACTTCTATATAATGATGGTGGAGGACATTTTCTAAGTTCTGTTTGTGATAAGTAAACTTTTGTGGGTGAGTCTTTTCAAATAGGCATTATGCTATTCTGAGGGGTTTTCTGTAGGTTATGTACCTCCTCTTGTAAATTAAAAACACAGACCATGTTATGTTTAGAGTTTCACACAAGGAAAATACCTTGGCTTATAATGACAATAAGATAGTTATTTTGATTATTGTTATTTTATTTAATTTTTTTTTTGAGATAGAATCTCACTCTGTTTCCCAGGCTAGAGTCTGTGGCATCATAGCTCACAGCAACCAAACTCAACTCCTCAAGTGATCCTCTTGCCTCAGCTTCTCGAGTAGCTGGGACTAGAGGTACACACCACTATGCCAACTGTTTTGATTTCTAATACTGCCCGAGGGAGGAGATCATGAAAATAAGCACTCTTTTCTAAACCAAACAAGGCATAGAAACACAATAAAACTGAGAAAGTGTTGATACTGAACATGAAATCAAAGGAAGTACACACTTAGTGTTAGAAAATAAAATACTCAGAAAAAAGAGACTGACAATAATTTGCTACACCTTATATTACAAGCAGATTAAACACAGTTTGAGTCTCAAGTAGTATCTTTTAAGGAAGCTCATTTTTTTTTTTTTGGATATGTAAGTAATTCTAGAAATCAAATGTGAAGCACTAAATCCTTAAAAACTGGATTATGAGAGGCTCAGTGCCTGTAGCTCAAGCAGCTAAGGCATCAGCCACATACACCAAAGCTGGCGGGTTCAAATTTCGCCCAGGCCCGTCAAGCAACAATGACAACTACAGCCAAAAAATAGCTAGGTATTGTGGTGGGCACCTGTAGTCCCAGCTATTGGTGAAGCTGAGGCAAGAGAATTGCTTAAGCCCAAGAGTTTGAGTTTGCTGTGAGCTGTGATGCCATGGCATTCTGCTCAGGGCAACAGCTTGAGGCTCTGTCTCAAAAAACAAAACAAAACAAAAACAAAACAAAAAAACCTGGATTATGAGATTACAAATACTAATGGCAACATTGTTTCAAGTAGCATAAAAAAGGAAACTGCTTCCTTGAAATACCTTAGTGACCATATTTGGATAGCAACAAAAATACTAATACATTAGTCTAACTGTAGAAATGCAAATACTTTGATTTGCTACATCAAGAGAAAATTAAGTCCTTTAACACATGTCCAAACTAGAGAAACAATGGCCAAATAGTAAGTAAAACAAATACATCAATACATATTAGGTACTTTAAAACATTGAGAGAAAATAAAAATTAAGGAAGCCGTTAAAAAACATAATATTATAGATAAAGAAGAATGAAATATATATTATATATACAAAAAAAATTAGATGAAAGGAGATTGATACAATACCAAGATACCAACCCTCTGATAATTACCACAAAGGACAGACTGTACCAGACAGTGGAGTGATGTGGTGATCAGTACCTGAACCAATTAAACATACCACTAATAGTGGACAAACCTGAAATTACATGACTCCCGATGTCACACAACAAATAAAAAATGTTTAATAAAAATCTAATCATAGGGAAACAATGATCTAGAATGTGGGACATTTTATAAAACATGAGGCCTAGATTTTTTCACAAAAGTCAATGTAATAGATTATGTAGCTAAATGAAAAACAATAAAAAGATGTGAAGAATGCTCTGGATTCAAAAATTCAAAACAGGAATAAGCAAAATGCAACATGCTGGTGTTGCTGGATCTTAAATCCAAAGAAAAGGCTATATGTCTCACTCACAGACTATCTTAAATGATACTGTAGAATCATTTTTTAAGGTATGTTACCAAGGGTGTAAAAAGCAGGCATTCTCAAACTACAGCCCGCGGGCCACATGCAGCCCGCTGAGGACATTTATCTGGCCCGCCAGGTGTTTTTGCTGCCGCTGCCTGTCCTGCTTAGCAGCCGACTTGTCCCAAGGCCCACAGTCCAGCCCTCCAATGGTCTGTGGGACAGTGAACTGGCCCCCTGTTTAGAAAGTTTGAGGACCCCTGGTGTAAAGGAACAGGTGCTTATTCTTAGGAGATGTAAGCTAAAGTATTTAGAGGTGAAATGTCACAATGGCCACAGTTTCCTTTGAAATAGTTGAGTGAAGGAGAGAGATACAGTGTAATCACTTGGTAACAACCGGTAAATTCAGGGAAGGCACAGGCAGTGTTTATTCACTCCACTAGTCTTCTGATTTTCTCTGGGTTTTAAAATTTGTAAAATAAAAATTCAAGGGAAAAATTATAAATATTATTTGTTCTTTTCATTTAGGTCCAAAAAGATATGTCATTTTTATCTCCTTTATAGAAAGAAAGACTGTGGAGTGGTGGCAAATAAAAATAACTTTTAGACTTTTGGTAAGCTTACAGAACTTCTGAAAATGAAATATAATGGAAAAGGTCAGGTCCTTCCCAGAGATGAGATGTGCATACTAAAAAGACATTAATGAAAATATTCCTGGCAATAAGAATACTCATGGCAGTAAAATATACTTGGTTCTTATCTTTTAAATCTTCATGGTGGGTTGTTTTTAAGGTTGAAGGATTTTAATAAGAGTGAACATTACCTTTTAGTGTGTCATCCCCCAGTGATAGCAGTCAGACTCCAGAAGTCACAGATTCTTCAATGAAGGACAAAAGACCCACAGAGCAGGTGTCCTCAAACTGTGGCACACCTAGGACATTTATCTGGCCCACCAGGTGTTTTTGCCACCGCTGCCTGTCCTGCTTAGCAGCCACCTGTCCCAGGGCCCGCAGTCTGGCCCTCCAATGGTCTGGGATATAATTTCACTGATGTCTACCCAAATATTAGGTATTTAAAGGTAATTTTTCTATGCCTTTCTTTAGCTTTGTGACTATAAAAGTATTAGGAATAGTCCCTAAATAATATTAATTTTGAGAAATTACAATTTTTTTAAAACTCCAAGGCCATTTAAAATAATTTGGGATTAATGAATTGGGATTAATTATTTTTAAAACAAAACTTACCTCTGAGGTGGTGTTCGTGGGCTCTTAAAGACTGCAGCTTTAGGTCTATCAGACTTGGAAGGTTTGCATCTCACTTCCTCTTCATACAGTTCTGCCAAGGCCAACTACATAAAAACAGGCTTGTTATAAAGTGTGACCCTTCCATACAACAAGAAGTTATGAATAGAACATGAACTTGAAACTGAGTGTGAAGACTTTCCATGAAAAAATTATGGCTTCAGTTTCAGATGACTCCCTTCCCAAATAAACTTGTTGCATCTGTTATTTTATAGAACCCAAATGCCACATAGATAACAAATTTCAGTTATAATACTTGATTACTAATATTTTAAATTAACTATTCAACAGTTGTACCCCTGCAACCTGAAAGTATAGACACGGACCCCCCTTAAGTGCAAATCAGTTGGAGGTTTATTGAAACTGCACAAGGGACTCTGCTCTGAGACAGACAGCCTGTCTCAATGGAGGGCAGGTTACCTGATATAATTTCTGAGCGAGCATATTACAGAAGCAGGATGTGGCTGGTTAGCTAGGGCGGGGGGGTGGTTACAGCTTGGGGGTTATAATCTGGTAAATTCCCACCATTGTTCACCTGAACTATTTCGTGCTTCCTTGTTTCACCTCTGAGGGGGAAGGAGGAGGAGGGAGTCCAGCTGGGAACCTGTCCCCTTCCCAGGGTTGACAATGGGGGGAGGAGGGTGGGGGACGGGCTGAAAACTTGCCCATTTCACAGTCTCAAAAACAATAATAGGTAACAATTTGTTTCTAAATTTGGACCTCTATAACTCTCCTATAATTCTTTTAAAAGTTCTTGATATTTCACTAATGTCAGCTTCTTTACTCACATCTCATAAAGTAACTTCATTCAGTTGTTCATGTGAATGCAAAATCCAAATGCATAAAACAATTTTAAAAGCATTCTGTTTAAAATTCTGCCAGACATAAATTTCATCAAGTTTAGGAAAATTTAACTTTCTGAAAAATATAATAAAATATATTACATTGTATGTAAACCATTATATAGAAAGGAATTTAGAAAGGAGTATTACCAAATTACACATTATAGATGTATGTCAAAATAGCTTCAAATTTAAATAAACAACTATATTAGTTCTTGAAATGGAATTTTAAAAAGTAATCCAAATATTTCAGTTTTTTTTT